TGGGAGACCAGTTCCATAGGCCTTTGGCTGGACCCTGCATTGCATTGGATGGGCTAAGTCGAGGGGCAGAAGATGTTGATCTACTGGATCAACATAACATAGGTTGTGTGAATCTGGTCAGAATCATCCTCTTCATTTAATCCATGATATTAAAATACAGTGCAATACAATAAAAGGTTGTGCTTCCTCACAGACTACCCTCTGGTCTGTAACCTCCTCAAACCGATTGCTATCTAAACTGGCGCTATTCTTATTTGTCCTTAACTTTCTTTCAAGGGTGGGGCCACAATACCTGAAAACCTTGCTAAAGAATCCTCCCCATTTCTAATCTGCATTGCTTCAAGCCATAAATGTATATAAAAAAAATATCTTTGACATGCTTCAATCTTGCAACAGAATGACTCATCCTAGGCACCCCCCTCCTGCTGCTTCCTCTGGGAGGGGGGGTCTCTGTCATTTGACCAAGGGGCATTTCATATCTTCCAGGGATGCAGCCAGCTCTCCAAACTTAAAGTCTTATTTTCTCCAGAAAGGTCAGACCCTGCGAGGTGATGCCGACTCACTGCAGAGAGCAGCCAAGCTAAACCTGAGCAAATTGCTCTGTGGATTGCAAAACTAATTTAAGGCCAATTTAGCAACATTCAGGCTCCAGAAGCGTTGGATGCTAGAGCCAAGCATTGCTTCAGATTTGATCTCCAGGAAGGGGCTTCAGTATGGGTGGGAGCATGAATTTAACATCTGTTTGGGAGCTACCCAGAGTTTAGAAGATGGGCAGCTACAGAAATATTGTAAGTAATAAGAAGGTAAGTCTTCCTCCAATACCTTAAAGCAGGGGTCTCCAAACTTGGCAATTTAAAGCCTTGTGGACTTNACTTCAACTCCCAGAATTCCCTAGCTGGCTGGAGAACTCTGGGAGTTGAACTCCACAAGTCTTAAGTTGCCAAGTTTGGAGGCCCTCTCCCTTAAAGCAGCTGATCTCACCTGATGTATATACTCCCCCAAAACATTGTTCATTTTCAATATTTGACTCCTGTTATTGAGTTTCAATCATAAACTGCCTCAAGTATCCCCAGTGTAGTGTGAATCCTCATCCTCAGAAGCACTTTTTGGAGACAAAATCCAAAATGTTACCCATCCGCCAAGATATTTATGGTGATGAAACTAGAGCTGGAATTTGGGCATCCTCCCCCCTCCCATATATATTGATATTTTTCTATCAGCCAGCCAGCCGGAGAGGCAGGAGGGAGGCTGCAGGAGAGCATCTCGCAGAACACCAGGAGGCCTGGCGCACGTCAAAACACTGCCTCTCTCCAGGACAGTTAATGAGTAACTATCAGCTCTAATATAGCATTTGAAAGGGATCAAAGCCATTCGCCACAGGGGTCCCCATCCCCCAGTTTGCAGAGGCAGAAAAATTGAAGAAAAGAATTTGGATCAGCTGAGGGGTCTGATGCAGGAAGACCGGTCTTTGGCCAATCCCCTTGGCTCGTTGTGACCACCCTCAGGTGCCAGGGAGTTGAAAGGGGATAAAATAAGTATTTCCAAGACCCAGAATGTGACCGAAGCACCCAGTCCTGCAAAAGACCAGCGTTTTATACCCATTACCCCTCATAGAAAACAATATGATTTCATTCCTGCCCAATTGTATCCTCCCTTACCTGCAGTCTTCCTGCAGGTCAAGCATTCAAAAATTCAGCTTTAGCAGAGAAGAGAGAGTTGTGTCAGGAATGAGTTGGCACCAGCTGGTATCTTGATGCCTCCGGTTGTTTTTAGAAAGCTCCTCCTTGGGTTGGTATAGATTTAGAAACAGGATTTAAACAACAGCGCTGTTAATAAAAACAGGCGATTAAGATTCCCTGGCACAATGGGCAAAACTCAGAGAGGATTTTAAAGTGAAGGAGCTGCTGGATGATGGGTTTAAGGCAAGTAGATTTTGCAGTCTGTCCAGGGAGCAGGGTGGCAGTTTGATCCCTATCCTTTAGAGAACTAGAATATCACTTGTTAAGTCTCTGCCCTGAAGCAAATCCCCAATTATAGAGCTGCCATTGCGACGGGAAAATGCTCTCCACCTGCCCAGGTAACATTCCAGAGACTTGAGGACTTCAGAAAGGCTTCCAGGTTAAATTCCAGCTAAAAAGATGGTTCAGTTCTGAGAAACTCCTTCACCAGAACAGCTCTGGGTTCAAGGGGGTCTTTGTGAGCCCTTCCAAGTTCCCAAACAGCTGGGATGAGGAGCAGGGCTCTGGCGACGTCCAGCGGCCAGAATCACGCCATGCAGGCAGTGTGGCTGGCAGTTTCCTTGCACAAGATCTGAGCCACGTTTCTCCTCTGCTTTCCTTCCCCGACTTGCTTGCACCATCGGAGTTCCTGGCCTTTGAGAAAAGGTGTAGCTTGCAGAGTTATTTCATAACTTGACTTGGCTTCATCAGGCACCTCTCTGGGTTGCCAAAGATTCTCCCTTGAGGGGAACCTGTTACAAGTTGGACCTTAAAAAAGCAGGAAAAAACCCCCAACTCGTTTGAGCTCTGATGCCTGAGAGCCGTGGTGCTCCTGCGTATTCCTTGGACAGCAAAGGTGACGAACAAGCAAGTCCTGGAGCACGTAACACCAGGCGTGTCACTAGAAGGCAAAATCACAAAACTCCGTCTCACTTAATTTGGCCATGTCACACGGGGGGGGGGGGGAGGAGAGATTCACTGGAGAAAGCAATTACGCTTGGAAGTTAGTGGTAAAAGGCGGCCCTCGAAGAACACGGTGGCTGGACACCATCAAAGCTGATGCAGCCAGAGCAGAGAACCACTCAAAGAAGCCGAGCAAGATCGGGAGACGTGGAGAGACCAGGTCCATAGAACTGCTGAGAGTCGGACTCAACTGAATGGATAACGTGATCATCGTCACGCCTGGGGGAGAAGATCTGCCCAACCTGGCTGGACCTCTTCCTCCAGCTTCAGGATTCGAATCCACTGACCAAGGGCCCTAAATTTCCTCCCCCACCCCACCCCCACCTCGTGTCCATGCAAAACTCGAGTCCGAGACACAGATTTAATGAACATTTATTTATGTACAGGCTTATACACATAGTTCCCAAGCAGGGGGGGTTCCCCCTCTGCCCTTCAGTGCTGTCTTGTCTGCATTTCATTTACAGTCCACATTAATTCTACACAATCCACCGGACAACAACGGGGAAAGGGAAGGAAGGAAGGCAGCCTCTTCCAATTTGCCCAATTTTGCCGAGGGACCCCTAGATCAGGCAAGGTTGCCTGCTGGCCTCCCTCAGCAGGGAGGGTCCCCAGCCCTCGGAGGAAAAGCTGCTGGCCACCCGCTGGCAGGACGCCCCAAAATTAAGAACCTTCAGGATGGCACTCTTGGGGCAGCAGCAAGCGCCAGTATCAAATGCTTGGGAAAGGGGCTGGGCACGGACTCCAAGGGGGTTTCTGCTGGGCTAAGAGGCTACAGCAGCTGCCCCACACCTTAGAGTGCCCCACATAATCGATCCAGAGAAGTGGAAGGCAAGCTGGGGCATCATTCACTGCTGGGATCTCTCTTATCCCATTTCCTCTGCAAAGAGGAACCCTGAAAAACCTTTGCCCCTTGCAGGCTTCCATGGCGGTGGGGGTGGGGGAGGAATGCACGACCTTTCACCTCCCTGAAAAGTGGGAGGGGGTCTTGCTTTGGAAAAACAGGACAGCAGTCCTTGCGCTCCAGAATGACTTAGCTCCATACCTTTTTCTAAAATGGGCAGACCTGCCAAGAGTCAAGGTCTCTGAGCATGCACAAGGTGTAAATCTGCTCCCAACTATGAAAGGTCTCCTCTTCTCCTTTTGTTCTGGGGGCCAACAGGGAGTTCCTTCCCAGAAAGACAGGGGGGGTTTGTAGCTCACCAGCTCTGCCCCTCCTGTTTCATGCCAGAAGGGAAGGCCTGGACAATTGGCACGGGGCCCAGGGCCAACTGAAGAGGGGATGCCAGGAGCCAAAAAGGAATGTGTGTGTGTGTGGGGGGGGGGAGACAGAAAAAGATGGCTGGATGCAGGCAGCCTTTCTCCCAGAACAAGAGGATTCTGCACCATTAGATGATTTCAGTTTTGTTTTCAGTTGGTGTTTCACCAAAGAATTGAAATTGAAGACATTTTGGACACCCGTACGAAACGCCCAGTGATTCTACGGGTGAATCTTGATGGCTGTCCCTCATCTTCAGCATCGGAACCCCCAATTCTCTGAGGGCCCCCTTGTGCTCGGGACTTCATCTCTAAGCCATTGGGGGCCCTTGGCTTCACCCCCTGATCTTGGGCCCTGACATTGGGGGGCAGGGAGATGGGGGCACCAGGCATGCCAAGAAAGATCTGCTGCCCCAATGAAGTCGTGGCCCACAGCAAGGGGAAACATGCACGTGCTTGATCCGAGACCCAGATTCTGCAACCAGAAAGGGCTGTCCGAAATTTCTCTTGGGTCCCTGCAGTAGCAGCTACTTGGCAGCAAAATCACTACTATGGGGATAAGGGTGGCTGGGTGGGTGGGAGAGAGTGACAAAGAAACTAAAAAAAGAAGATGGAGCAACGGACTCCTCTGACTCTCTCCTGCAAATGAGCCGTGTTGAGCTTTGGAGGGAATGGGTCCTCCAAGTGGCATTCAGGTCTTGCTGCTCCTTACCTGCAGCTCATCTCTGCTGTTCAGATCCTACCTCAGCCAATCCTGAACAATGCGGCCTTGAGAACAGGGAGAAAGGGCACCCGGGCTGAAGAAAATAGTCCCTGGGGACGCATACCGGGGCTCTGGGCTTCAGTCTAGGCAGGATCCCTGCAGCACCCTCAAGTTTTCCTCTCCCCCCTTCTCGGCCCCCTCCACAGCTGCTCTTCATGCAAACCCAAACCTTCCCTGGTTCCAGACCAAAGGGCAGAGAGCATGTTGGGTGGCAGTGCCCTCGGCTGCCATGACTGGCAAGAGGCCTGCACTCCCAAGAAGGCCAACGCTGCTCGGGCACAAAAGACAGACGGGCTGGTATGCTACTTGATGTGCTCGGCCGCATGTGATGAGCAGTAATACTTCTTGTGGGCAATGAAGGTGGACAGGCTGCTGAATTTGATGTTGCAAAGGCGGCAATACCGGTGGCTGCCGTTGGCCACGGGGGTGGGCAGCCCTTTGCCGGAAGGGGTCTGCGCACCTTTGTCCGTATACCCAGGAGGGGGGGCGCTGGGGAGGGCCTCGGGCAGGGGAGAGAGGGGCAAGGGGACAGAGGGGGAAAGTGGCAGGAGGGGCTGTGGAGAAGGCGTTGGTCGAGGGCTCCCATTGGACAGGGGAGGGATGGGCGCCTCTTTGCCATTGAAGCTGTCTTTGGGTAGTCTGGGGGCTGGCTGTGGCGGGGAGGTGGCTGGCAGTGAGGGAAGCGGGCTGCTATCGGCCAGCGTCCGGGTGGCCTCTATCAACGTGGGCCCTGCTGCTGTTTTGGTCACAAACAGTCCATGAGTATTTCGGAAGTGCTCTACCAAGTCTCCCTTCACGGTGCCATTGATGGGGCAGTAAGGGCACACAGCCAGGGGCACCTTGGCACCTGCGAGGTGCTGGGCTTTGCCCTCCAGGTAGCGTTGCTGCTGCTGGAGTGGCTCTACAGCAGAGAAGCTGGCTGGTGCAGCCACGGGGCTCAAGGAAGGCGCCACCTTCTCCACCTTGATTGCTACCCCTTCGGGTTCCTCAGCCCGACCCTCTGGGCTTTCTTGGGGCTTCAGAAGTGCTGGGGTGGCCCCCTTGATCTTCTGCAGCTGCTCCATGGTGCTGGGCTGCAAGGGCGTGGCTGGGCAGTAGTACTTCTTATGGGCCAGGTAGCTGTCGAGGCTGTGGAAGCTGATCCGGCAGGCTGTGCACTCGTGGTAGTCCGCCAGGGGAAGGATCCCTGGGAGCACTCGGCTCCCGCTGTGCAGGCGGGGCTTCTTGCTGAGGTCGATGGGGCCCTCGGCGTCTGGGCTCGAACTGGGAGACGGGGTGGCCTTGACCACCGAAATGAGAGCAGGGACCACAGGGGACGCCTCGGGGCGAGGGACCTCTGGGGCAGCCCCCAATTGGCTGCTGGCGTTGTGGATTTCATACAGCTTGCGGCGTTTGCGTGTGCGAATCGGTTGGGGGAGGAAGGGCAGCTTGCCGGCCGCACTGGTCCGGCGCAGGGGGGGGTCATGGCGGGAGGCGCAGTAGTAGCGCTTGTGCACCATGTAGGTCTCGTGGCGGCTGAAGCGGATGTTGCAGGCTTCGCAGATGGTCCGGTTGGGGTCATCTTCTGGTTCCTCCACGGAGCTGGCGCCTGGACTTGGGCTCCCCTCGCTGATGCGCCCAGTTCCATCTGTCTCAGGGGAGGGGCTGGCTTTGGTTCCGCCCTCCTCCATTTTGACTTCTTGCTTGATCTCTAGGGCGGGAGGGGTGGCATTTCCTTCCAGTTCCCCCTCTTGGGCTGCGCTGCTCTCTCCGGGTGACAGACGTGCCCCGGCAGCGCTTGGGCCTTTGGGTGCAGTGGCGGGAGACATCTTGGCCTTGCGCAGGGCAGTGGGGCTCTCCTCAGCGAGGCGGCGGCTGGAGCAATAAAGACGCTTGTGGACATAATAGTTGTTGATGTTGTTGAACGTGATCTCACACTCAAAGCAGGTTGCACCCTTGGGCACCGGGGTGCCTGGAAAGAGGACAGGTGGCACCCCACCGTGGCCTTGCTTTAGGCGGCTGTGAACCAGCTCGGACATCTTGGCCAAGATCTCCGACGCCTGGGGCATCACGGTGGCTTCATGGCCAAACATGTACTGGGGCAGAAAGACGGTGCCTCCGGAGGTGCTGGCGCCAAGCTCGCTGGGCACCGGGCTGGATCCTGGCGTGGGGCTGGTGATCTCTGACTTCACCTTTACAGAGTGCAGGCTGTGGGGCGAGGGCACACTGGGGGATGCATCCAGCTCGGCCTCCGGTTCCGGAGCTGCCTCTTCTTGGGAGGCTCCTTGAGGGTTTTCCCCCTCATCCAAAGGCTCTTCCTTGATTTGCACAGGTGGTGCCCCATCAACCCAGTTGGGACTCTTTCCTTGGGAAGGCGACCCAGTTCTCGCTTCCTCTGCAGGGGACCCCCTCACTTCTTGTAAAGGGGATTTGGCGGGTGCCTCTGGCGGGCTCTGCTGAACAGCTTTGGGCTCTGAGTTGGGCAGAGCTGTCGCCGCGGTGCTATGCAAAGCCACGTGCTGCTGGAGGCTGGTCAAGCAATTGGCCACGTAGCCACAGAAGCTGCACTTGAATGTGGAGGACGAACCTGGAGAACTCAAGCCTGCAGAAGGGAAGACAAACAGAAGGGGTGAGCCTTTGTGGGAATGCCCATGGCGACCGGGCTCACATGCGTGTGACTGGGCTCATATGTCACCATCATTTACTGACTGCATAAATCAGTTGCGCAAATCAAGCAAAAATTATCTGGCTTAGCATCTTCTGGGAACTCCATGATCTTCTTGCTCTCCAAGATCATATCCATCAGGATGAATCCAGAGGAAGCCATCTCTCGTGTGATCCCAACATTAACTTAAGCAGGCAACCTGATCAATTGTTGCCAATACCAATCCACTTACAGACACTTGCTAGAATTCACCAGCGGGTTCACTCCCTACCTATTATTTATTTTTTTAAAAATGCAACTTTGTGAAACAGGTTCCTCAGAACTCTGTCAGCCCTAGTTGGACCTTCTAACCAGAACAGGACATCTTTGGACCTCCCTCACTTACCCAGGGCCATTGGTTTAGTGGTGGAAGCAGGGATGGTGGGGCCTGGGGAGTAGACCTCTCCTTTGGAGCCAGGCTGGCAGATCATGTGATTGGTAACCAGGTGGCTGTAGAGGATGTCCCGAGTAGTGGAGATGAAGCCACAGCTGTGGCAGACACCTGTAAGCACAGGAAACTGCCTGATTTTTGGTCTGAACAGCATAAAACTACCTATACTTGGGCTGCCAGGACCTCTCCACAAACTTGTCGATGGTGGCCAGCAGGTAGTGAAGTTGGGGGTATCTGCATGCAAAGCTGGTGATCCACCAATAGCCTTGACTCCAGTTACACTGGGGGTTACTGACGCTGGTGTACAGCGGGTAGGATGAGGCAGCTTATATGGACAAAGTGACTTAGAAGTAGTAGTAAATGAACTTAAAACTATAGAGTAGACATGACTTTCCAGAGTTTCAAGCCAAATTCTTCTATCTACAGATGCTGAATCTAGGAGCTCCTGCAAGGCAAGCAAAGGCTCTGCCACTGAGCCATGGCATCTCCAGGGGGCATCTAACAGAGGCCAACACTTTTCTCCGTCCTACCATACGACCACCCTGTTTTTCACAGCTTTCCGCTGCCAGCATCTTCTGTCCAATTACAGAAGCCCAGGGCTTTCTGCAAATCCACCACCACGAGAAGGAACTCTTGGGAGTAGGCCCCCCCCTGGGCAGAACAGAAGCTTCCACCGCCAGCAAGGGAGCCTTGCTTGGACCTTGCACAAGAGTGAGTGAACCAGGAAGAGTAGCATGCGCACAGCGAATGGGTCTCTGAAAAGGATCCACTCCATGTCGTACTTCCAGCCCTGAGTCCAACTTACCGTTCAGGGTATCTGTGTGTACTTTGAGGTGTCGCTCACAGTTTGCTTTTGTTGTAAAGGCAGACAGGCAGATGAGGCAGACAAACGGCCTCTCTCCTGAAAAAGAAGCCAGATGTGAATTGCAGGACTTGGGGCAAAAACGGTGGTGTCTTCCTGCCCAAAAATGGCAGGGCTGGTCCACGGTTTCCTGCACAGCTCTGCAATGTGACGGAGAGGTCAGGACACCTCTTAAGACGGGTGCATCTTAAAGAAATCAGTTGGACTTTGGCAGGGCTACAGGAGATGCCCACGACTGAGATGAAATTCCCTACCTCACCGCCAGTGATTAGACTTTATATTAGACAATAACCCCACAACGGTAGCTAACCTCCTATCAGTCCCAGACTTCGAACGTGTGCAGGTTGAGAGCTTTGAAAGCTGGGGTGCCTCTGTGTCTGAACTGGGGCCCCTCAGCCCCCGGGGCCCTTCTGCCCCTTCCCACCCAACCTGGGTCCTCCCAAGCGTGGCACAGCTCTTACCGCTATGGCTGCGCATGTGAATCTCCAAGGAGCTGGCACTGGGGCAGCTCTTCTGGCACTGGGGAAAGGGGCAGATGCGCTCGTTGGGGTAGGCATCCTTGGGCTTTTCGTCCAGGGCGGGCGAGGCGGCGTTCTGGCGGCTGGCACAGTAGTACATCAGGTGAGCCTGCAGGTTCCGCTCGCTCCGGTACCAGATGCCGCAGTCCTTGCAGGGAAAGACGTCCTCTGGAAGGCAGAAGAGGATCAGAGAAGGGGAGGAGAGTCTCCTTTGCAGCCAGAGAACCACGAAGGGCGTGGATTCGGGGCAGGAGAGCGATTGGCTAAACCCTCATGATCAGAGGTCCTCCATTAGACCGGCCCCCACGAGGCCCAGCCACCCAAAGCTCAGGGGAGGCTCTGAGCCGTCATTGGTTTTTAATTCTGGGCCCAAAAGTTGGGATGATTGCAGGAACAAAGCCGTGGCTTCTTTTTCTGCTAGATTTCCATCTCTATAGGTCGTCCTTGATTTACAACCATTCGTTTAGTGACCATTTGAACTTATGACAGCATTGAAAAGAAGAGACTTACAACCAATCCTTGCATTGTAGCATTCCCCCATGGTCATGTGATCAAAATCTGGGTGCTTGGCACCTGGAATGTATTTACAATGGTTGTAGCACCATTTGCGACCTTCCCAGCTGGCTTCCGACAAGCAAAGTCAATGAGGGAAGCCAGATTCATTCAGTGACCGTGTGATTCCAGTAATTCACTTAACAACCACGACAAAAAAGGTTGTAAAATCGGGCACAACTGTGTTTAACCATGGAAATTCTGGTTCCAATTGTAAGTTGTAAGTCAAGGACTACCTGTGATGATTTGATTATATGCCATTAAGTTGTTGTGTCTGCTCTGGGTGACCTCATCTGGCACTTATACCTTCCTGATGTTCTTTGATCACCCCTCCCAGGAACACTCCACCAGTCACAACGAGGCAGTCCAGCAGGACCTGGGGAGGGGCTGCCATGATTTACAGTGTGCACATGATGGGCAGACGTGGAACAGAAACTGAGAAGGGTGTTTGAAGTGATGAGAGGAGTCGTTTAGAGTGAGAGCCCCCACTGAGGTCAACACCAAGGCTGGGATGGACGATCTAATCCAGCAGCAGAGCAGATGCCAGATGCGTGGACTTCAACTCCCAGAATTCCCAGAAGTTGGCATTCAGGCCTCTTAGCAGGGATGGCTGCAGGAAGGCCTTAACCAATCACTTACTGTTGACAACTGCCGTGGCTAAGATGGCTGCCATCCCCGCTTGCTGGGGAAGCAGCTGGATTTCGGAAGGCAGAGCGACAGGGGGAGCGGACTCCCCACTCTCGGTCTTCCCAGTGTGGTTGGGGATCCCCACCGGTTCGGCCATGACAAACGCCTTCAGTGCATCTCCTTCGGAAAGAGGCTTGGTGGTTTTACACCAAATGGAGTCATCTGGAAATTGAGAAGGAGATCAAATAACACAATTATGGGAACCACAAGTTTTCAGATGCAGTATCGTCCAGCCTCAGTTCTGTTGCTCTGTGAAATGGCCAATTTTGTCCAGAGAGATGATGTCCTTTCGTTGGGACCTAAAGTCTCCCAAGCAGCCTTGAGAAAAATCACCCTCCCTGGGCTCCACTCTTGGTTGTAAAATACAGTAGGAGCTGCAGCAGCTGGCTTGTCTCACAGGTCTATCCCAAGGCCAAGACTCTAGGTGGTCTACTTTCCGGTGCATGGAGAAAGAGAAGCTATGGAATAAATGTTATGCAGTGGAATTTGAATTGATTTCTGAGTTGAATTCTGCAACAACTCTGATGAACAGCAGAATGACCTGAAAAATATATTGAGCACCAGCTGCTCATTGGATTGTCCAACAGTAAGGATAAAGAGGGGAATAAAAGGTATATCTAAAATATTATGTGCACATTTTTATACTCTCTCTCTCTCTCTCTCTCTCTCTCTCTCTCACACACACACACACACACACACAAACACACACACTCACACTCGCTCATACACACACACATTGTGTAGGGGCATCAGAGAGGTCATTATTCATTAAATGTAAAAAGTGGCTTCTGCCTTCTTGGGATGGTGTTCAATTATTAAACATGCTGGTATTATCCTGAGAAACTCTCAAAGAAGCTGATTAAATATTATACATCCAAAACATAAGATGAAGTTGCTTAGTCCCTGAGAAGCTTGGTGTCTCTGAGGATTCAGATTAAAGAATGACCACTTGAGCCAAGAGCCTTAAAGGACAGGCAGGAGCATCACTGTCCTTTTTAGCAGCGGTTTCAGAAAGCTTGTTTGATTCTCTCTGAAACTTTGCACTGACTGCTCTGTGCAATGCACACAGCCAAAGAGAGGTGGCAGTGTTGGACCACACTTTCACAAAAAAATGGCACAATGATCTTTATGGCTCTCTCTCCGATAGCTTAGCACGCCTGACCTGTCCACTCGGAAGCCCCTTGCCCATATCCCTTCCTTGGGCTCTGCCTGGAATGCTACCCCTGAAAACATCTAGCACTGTAGACCCACCACCCTTTCTTCAAATCTGCATCTTCCCAACAGCTTCCCAGAGCTACAATTTAATCCCTAAACCAGGGGTCTTCAAACTTGGCCCTTTTATGACTTGTGACTGAGGAATTCTGGGAGTTGAAGTCCACAAGTCATAAAAGGGCCAAGTTTGAAGATCCCTGCCCTAAACCCTCGTGCCTGTGGGTGCTCATTTGCTACATCTGTGCCTTCCAACTCATTCACTTCCCTAGTTCTGCTCTTTCCTCCATATTTTGCCACCGAATAGAAGGATGCTTCCTCCCTGCCAGCCCCTCTTTGCTGCTTGAAATATACTGATGGACTAAGTACTTACAGCCATTCCTTTAGCGACCATTCAAAGTTACCACAGCACTGAAAAAGTGACCACTGGGTTCTTGGGTTTATGACCATTGTAGCATCCCCACAGTCATGTGATCAACATTTGGGTGCTCGGCAATCGGCACCAATTTGCAATGGTTGAAGTGACCCTTAAGGTCATAAAACGGTCTGTGACTCACTTAATGACTACCTTGTTTAATAATGGAACTTCGCATCCCAATCGTAGTTGTAAGACAAGGACTACCTGTACAGTTAACAGCATGATTTTAGTAAATGCAGACACCAGTTGGGGAGAATTAGCTCCTGAAAACAAGTAAATAGGTACTTCTCCTTCGAGGGGGTCTTTTTAGCATCCTTTGCTTGTACTGGAATGAACCCCTTTCTCTTCCCTCCCCCCACCCCAAATCAGGCAGGGCTCACTGCTCAAGGGCTGACCTTTCTTGTAGATCACCGAATTGGCGTCCCCTTCGCCAGGAACCAAGGACAGCTTGGCCAGCCAGCACGTGTCATCCTGCAGGATCAGGGTCACGGGCGGGTTCAGCTGAGAAGAGAAGAGAAGTGGGTTTGAACGAACATGCCAGTCACTCTCTCAAAACAGGTTCCACTCTGAACTCCAGCAAAAAACAACAACAACAAAAACCGGCCACCACTGGAGGATCTAGATGAGCTGGCCAGGTCTCGAAGTTTGGCCCGGACATTTGGAACCAGCCTGGTTGGGAAGGCTGCCGTTGTAGATGCTCCAGGAGATGCTCAAATTTCCCCCACAAATGCGCTGCAATGACGGGATGGGAACCCCGCCCGGGTTCATCTTCTCAACTGGTGCCCCTTCCCCTTTCAAGAGCTGGCCTGGCTTCACCCAGCACCACCCTCAGGGAGCCAGAACGGCGACAGCCTTGGACCAGTGGGTGATAACGGAGCTGCCTGGCGCGCCACGGCACGTCACGCCACCCGAACAGGCAGAGATACGAATTGACTCAAGCAATCAATGCTGGGTGTGTGTGTGTGTCTGGGGTATGTGGACACGTGTCTCCTGCGCCTGCCCAGGTCAGTGGGTGGCTTCCTTCCTCGCTCCAGCAGCCTGGTGGCGTGATCCACGTGGCCACAGAGTGAAGCCCAGAGCTCACTTCCCTTCCGGACGGCTGCCCAGCAGGGCCAGGGCAGCCCCGAGGAGTTAGGGGGCCTCCGCCCGAGGACAGCCCCCTTCCTTGTGGAAAGTGACCCGGCGGCCACTGCGGCCCCAGCACGAACACAACAAGCTTGTTATTTCCTCTTCTTCGTCACCCGCGGGCCAAGCCGTGCCGGTCGGGGAGGAAGCAGCCACTTCACCCCTAACCTCGGTGGTGTGCTGGGAGGAAAAGAGATTAGAGGGGGCAGAGGAGGAGGAGGAGGAGGAGGAGGAGGAGGAGGAGAGGCCGGACTGCTGGAGTGGGGGGCAGTCAGCTAAGCTGGGCCCCACTTTTGCAAGACAAAAGGAAACACTGTGACTCTCCAACCTGCCATGGAGCCCCAGGTGCCGCTGATGCAGCCACAGATGTTCAGCAGTGATGGGAAGGATGGGCAGGTATGGACCCTGAAGCCACCTTGCTTGAGCCCCCAGGACCCTCAGAGGAGGGCTGGAAAGCTTCTGGAGAACAAGGTGGTCTAAGCATCGATCCTGAATTTTCTCTACTTGAATTCCCACCTATCTCACACCCCCGGTCCGGTTTGCGGCACAAGAGACAATTGGAAAGTCCTGTCCAGGGAGGGGCACCCACAGGCTGTTTTTTGGGGGTGCAGAGAACTGGAGGATGACCTTATGATCCCAACCTAAGAGGTAGATGGGAATCAAAAGCAGAGAATAAACAGCTGGAAGACCCCCACATCCATCCTGGGTCCTTCTGATGCTGCTTTCGAGACAGAGAAAGAGTCAGAGGGGCCACGGATGAGCCCCCTACTTACCACAAGAGATTCCCCTATCCAATGGACCCCCTCACGGGACACAGCCCCTGGGAATCCTGCAGTTTTTCATTCCCCACTACAAATAACTAAGTGCATCTTGTTCCAGCGACTGGCCCTATCAAAACAAAATGTACCCCTTTGCCAAATTCCAGCGAAAACCAGCGGGTTCTCAGCAATTTCCTCTCTGGGTATTAATGTGGTTTGCAGCTTACGGACCCACCCTAGGCACTCTGGGGCCCAGACCCAAGAGGCAGATTTCCTTTTGCTTCCCCCTCACCCCTGTGGGCTGAGGAGACCCCCCCTCGAAACACTCCACCCAGGCAGCAGCCAACATTCACCCCTTCAGGGAGATCTGAAGGGGTCTGCCCTTCTATTTCAAGGCCCTATTTGAACGAGGGTGGCTAATTATGATCCCAACTAGAGAAAAATATTCTGTCCCTTCTAATGCGATAGACATGGACTCTTCTAGAAAGGGGCCAAAGAACCGCCTCTTTCCTCCTTGGCAGTCAGGGGAGAGGTGAACTGCTGCTGAATATGGAGGTTCGAATTTACACTTCCTCCAAATAGCTGCTGATGAAAAAAACGTTCCAGCACATGAGGCCAAGCAGGACTTTGGAGGAAAAGACAGTGCGTGGCACAGCGGCATGTGCCCCCTTTGAGAGGGGAAGGGAGGAGGAAGGTCCTGGGCTGTTCCCCCCCCTTGCCGCCTGCCCCACTGCGCTCCTGCTCAGCCCTCGCCCCTCTCTGCCTCCTGGGCCGCTAATGAATATTAATGAGAAGGAAGGAGGGCGAGGGGAAAAAATTAATCTGCCTGATCCTTCAATGGCTGCAGCAGTAACGATATGAAATCTAATTATCCATCCCAATATTTCTAAACCCTCCACTCAGACTGACAGTCTTGGTCGGTTTAAGGCTTATCGTTCCAAGGAGCAGAGTGCTCAAGGCTTGATAATACACACACGTGCAAGCTCCTTATTCTTTTCTTTTGCACCCACCCACCCACCCACACATAGAAGACACACACTTTTGCTGACGATACAAAAATAACAGCCGGCCTACATCGTCTGTGTGTGTGATTGCACGTGCCAGAAAACGGGAGCCACCCCAGTGCAGAAGGAAGGAAGGGGCAGCGCTGCCACGTGGGTGGAATGGGGTGGTGGGGCACAACTGGGAGATCAGCTGATTCAGCACTTGGGTTCTCCCCCTCCCCACAGCCTGGCGTCTCTGACCGGCCCCCTCAGTGCCATATTTAGCCCTTTGAGTGTGGGACAGATGCCAGCCAAGCCTGATCCAACTTGGGATGTCGCCTTGTCCACCTCCAAAACTGGAAAGACCCTCCCAAACAATAACCCATATAGCCCTTGCCACAACTAAGCGGTTCTCTTCTTCTTCATTGTCTATTCTGAAAAATAAAAGCCTCCAAATTGCCCCAAACTAAGTTTCCACACCTGGTGCAGGTGCGAGGGTGCCCTGACTCAGCAGCCTTTTGATGCCTGCATGCCTATCGCTGCCCACATCTGCCACGGCCTGTGCATCCGTCCCCTGTACTGCAGGGCGTTCTCTAGGGGAGGGCTCTCCTACCTTGGCAACTTTTCGACTTGTGAGCTTCAACTCCCAGAATTCCTCAGTCAGCTATGGGAATTCTGGAAGTTGAAGTCTACAGGTTGCAAAGTTGCCAAGGTTGGAGACCCCTCTCTAGTGGGCCTTTCTTAGTAGTATATTTTTCTTGCCACTATTTTTTGCATCCCACACTTGGAGATACGATGGGGATCACAAAGTCGAGGTCAGCAGGCGATATAATTCCTCTGGGCTTTCTTTATGTTAGATTTCAGCTTGGAAACTGCTTGGAGTAGGACCCTCAGTCTGTGCACCCACAAAAGGGACACACATACCACAAGGGCACCAAAACCCAAAGACCCCTGGGCCAAACCTGGCTCAGTTCAGAGGGCCGCACCCCCTCCAGATCCTCCAATTTTGCAAGAGGGTTCCTCCCCAGCCCTTGCTTAAGACAGGACCCACCTGCCACGTTTCCTTCAGGCCCATCCCGTGGCCGGTCCGGCTCCAAGCAGTATCCCATTTTGGCCTACAATCCTGATACATGCCCCAGAGTCTACAAGAGACACACATTGACAACCCAGCTGTGGCTTCTCTTCTGGCCATTTTCCACTCCAGACCCTCCGCAGGAAGTGGGCCTGGGGCAGCACTGTGATGCTGAGAACTCTCCTTGTTTCCCCTCTAACAAAGAGGTCAGTGTCTTGAATCTCCAGTGGGTCTGATAACCATCGGAAACTCTATCTGGGTAACGTCCGCCTGGGACACTTTATCCGGACCCCTCGCTAAACAAGGGAGAGGAGCAGAACCTGCCACCCTGCTAACTGCTAGGCTTCATCATGATTTGCTCTCCCAGCAGGAAGGGGGCATGGAGAAAGAAGCCCAGCCATTTCTGTCCTGCAGAGGGTGGTTGAATCATGCCAGAAGCAGGAGGAGGTGCCCTCAAGAGGTGGTGGGTTTTCAGTACAGAGTACATTTGCTCCCATCCAGGAGCAGCTTTGGGATCTGTGATCTGATCCAGCGTTCTGAATCCCCCAAACGGCCAACCAGATGTTCGTGGAAGCACCACCCAAGTCCAGCATACTGGACAGCCGGAAGTATTTGGGGTGCAGGGAAGAGGACTTTCACAGAATGACTCTGAAGCATCCCTCTAGATCAGGGTTTCTCAACTCAGAAACTTTGAGAGGCATGGCCTTCTCCAGCTAGCTGGGGAACTCTGGAAATCGAAGTCCATGCTTCTTAAAATTGCTAAGGCTTAGAAATATTGCTTTAGATCAGGGGTAGGCAACCTCGGCTCTTTTATGACTCGTGGACTTCAACTCCCAGAATTCAGGAATTCAGGCTCAGGAATTCTGGGAGTTAGTCATAAAAGAGCCAAGGTTGCCTACCCCTGTGCTTTAGATCATCACGTGTTTTAAAGCCAGGGCCTCCAAATCAGAATCCTGCTCTCAATGTGTTGTTTTATCTTCTGCTTCAATATCTCGAGGGGAGGCAAGCCCACCACCTCCTGTGGCACCTCGGTTTGCAGCTGAATAACTCACTTGCTGGGACGTTTTTCCTAATGTTCAGTTCAAACCTGTTTCTTCTCAGTTCACCCTCACTAGAAGTAGCCCTGGAGCAGCAGAGAAGTCTATTCTGTTCCTCTGAATGGCAGCCTTGCAATTGTTTGATGATCAGAATCATATCACTCAGGAATATTTTCTTCTCCAGAGGAAGCACCATCCAATTTTTCAACTGCACTTTGGGGAATCTGGTCTACTTGCCATCCAGCTCTGACCCCTAGGTCACATGCCACACTTCCTCCTCCATCTTACACCAAAATCTTCAGGGTCTGCTTTTGGTACCCAGATGCTACATGTTTTGCTCTGCCCAGTTTCACCATGCTTATTCATCTCTGTATGCCAGTCTATTCAAGAACTCTGCTCCGCCATCTTACCACCTCTCCCAGCTTCCTTCTTCCTTCTTTGGACAACTTCCTTGTCTACAAGACCCTCATCCAACTGGAATCATTGGAGGACCTCACTGCAGATCTACCTCCCACGAACAAAGGCCCACCAATTACTCGTCTTCTGCTTCGAAGGGTCTTCCCAACCAATGAAATGGATCTCTTTTGCCAAAGTTCTGGATGAGATGGGGACACAAGTTGGTTCCTGCACTGCCATACTGGCCCCATCCAGTTTGAGAGATGCTCCTTAAGAGCTGATACCTGCCAGGCATCCAAGGAGGGGCCAGTAGTTTTGCCGCCCACTCCCCAAGGACCCATGTTCCATTCTGGGCCACTCCATTCCCAGAATATTCCGGGGAGAGAACTGGGAAACCCCTCCTGCCCAGGACTGATGAAAGTTGAGGCTTCCAGAGAGCCAAAAATGGAGAAAGGCTGAGGGGGCAGGAGGGTCTTCCCTCCCCCCTGGCAACACCAAGGAAAAGAGAGTGGAAACGAGGTGAACAAGAGGACTGGGGATCGTCAATGTGGCTGGATAAGGGAAGCTGCTGAAACAGGAGCAAAAATATTTAGACAATAAATGAAGTATCAGAAGAAAGCTGCAGCCTATCTTTAAGGAATCAATCATCCTGTACCGGTTGTCTGGACAGACGGCGCCACAGAAGAGATAGCTGCCAAACTGGCAAGATAAGGGTTAATCAAGGATTTAATTCAGCACAAAAAAAGATAAATGGGGAGCAGAGGGAGACAGAGAGGGGGAGAAAGTGGGGAGGCCCAGACGCTGGGTCCCGATACTCTTCCTCCTCCTCCTCCCTCTTCGCAAAAGGACAGGGAAAAGTTGGACCGGCTCCCAAGCCCTCACCCTGCCCAGGCCAAGATTCCCGGGATGGCGCTGGAGAGAGAAAGAGGATGCATCGCAGTCATCCCAGAGACAAGCAAAGCCCCCCCCCAGCAGGCCCCCAGCCCAGAGTGGAGCCTCCTGCTTCCCTCCAGCACCCAGGCGGAGGGCCCCCCCTCGCCTTGTGGTTCCCTTTCTGGATTTGGGCACTTCAGTGCTCTCGGCCTTAGCTCATAAATCATGCCAGGTGGGGGGACGTTTTGCAGGGACACCCTTGGAGGCCTTAGCGCTGGGGCTTGAGGGATCTTGCAATATTTTTATTGGAGGAGGACCCCAAGAGAGAAATGATTCGCCCACAGAGGTCCCTTTCTCTGCCGCTTCCGGACTCCTGCTGGTCCTGCCAGAGACGGGATCTAGTCAGACGGAGAAGAAAAGAGGGAATGCGCCCTCCGTGGCCAACTCCTTTTTAACAGCCGTCCAGGATAGCGGTTGCACTTCCTCGCACCCAAATATGTTGGTACTACAACTCCCTTGCACCCTGTGTATTTGGGTGCCCCTCCATTCCTGAGGTGTTTGTAATCCTATCATGACTGTTCCTCAAGTGAAGGGTCCAGGATGGCTTGTTCCTTCTCCACTAAGTTAACTGTCCTATCTGGGGGAAACTTACCAACTCGGTCAGTCCTGGAGAAGGCGGCTCGCTGTGGATATTTCCCGGGAACGGGCCCCAAAACATTCCACCGGGGAGGCTGTGTTTGGCACACACCTTGCTTTCCGCCTGGGAGGTCAGGAGCTCCAACTCGTCTGAAAGAGAAGAAAGGGAGGGTTGGGGGAAGTCCGAAGGCTCAACGAAGAGCCTGCACGGCACCCTGGATGATCCCTCCAGGGGTTTATTTGAGCTGCTCCACTGAGGGACGCCGTGCCATGGCACCGAGGCGCACCAGACTCAGTGGGCAGTTCAACTTGGCAAAAGGTGCTTCTGCCAGTTAGACGGTGCTTTGGGGACAACACCTTGCTGGAACAGACAGGGTGAAGGGTCTCTTTGCCAAGGCCAAATATTTAAACTGGGAGATTTGAGGTGGGAATGGTCACCAGTTCAGAAATGATGGAAAATCAGGTGAGACATAAGAGTTTGTGTGCCATCACTCAATCTTCCCTAGAAAAGTCTTGCTCATTTCCTCACTGGAAAGAGGAAGAGGAGGAGGAGGAGGAGGAGGAGGAGGAGGAGGAGGAGGAAAGAAAAAAATGGCAGGGGCAAAAAAGAAAAGGGCTCTTTCCAGGCCTTCCCAGATTACCTGTGTACCAGGCTCCACCACTGTGCCGCTGATCTTCAGGGGTCACACGAAGATTATAGCATCTTGGATATCTGCCCACTTGACTTGACCTGGTGCCCACCCCAAACTCACCCATCCCAGGCTTCTGCCTAGAAATTGGCAGGTTGCTCTATCAACCCAACCAAAGAGCCCCAGATTGCAAAGAGCCCAAGGACGCTCTCTGCTCTGCCTGGGGAACACCCTCTTGCTGGGATCACCCACCCCAAATCCTGCTTCGGACCCCATTCTTCAGGATCCTCTCCGATTATTCCATAGAGCAGGAATGTGCAACCTTGGCCACTTTAGACCTGTGGACATCAACTCCTAGAATTCCCCAGCCAGCCATGCCTGGGACTTGAAGTCCACAGGTCTTAGTGGCCAAGATTGGAAACCCCTGCCTGGCTGGGGAATTCTGGGAGTTGAAGTCCACAGGTCTTAAAGTGGCCAAGGTTGGACACCCCTGCCAGAGAGGGGTTTTCTTGGGGAGGGGACAAAGTTGCTGGCATCTCTCCATGGAAAAGGGAGCCTCTCTGAGGCTTCATTAGGACCCTTGGCTGAGGCAGCCTGGAGCTGTAATAGCCTTGATGGTTTGATAAGCCTCTTGGTTTAATGGGGGGAGATAACATGTAAATTGGCTGGGAAGACTGGCCTAAAAATGTTTTAGCTGCACCTCCATCATGCTGCCTGCTGATAAGATGGCAGTTAAACAATACTTCAAGGCAGGCTAAAGCAAGACCTCCCCCTCCTCATTCCACATCTGGGAAAGGAGGAAGGGGTGAGCATTCTTGCAATCCCCCTCTTTTCTCTAAACCCTCTGCAGGGGAAGGAGGTGGACGGAGGCACGGCAGAGGGCTGGTTGGGGGTCCACGTTGACCTGCCTGGGAAACAAATCCTTGAGATCAGATTTCTCCTCTCCCCACATCAAAGGGGGAAGAAAAGAAGGGAGGGAGAAGTCCCCACTGCCAGGGTTTATCAGAAGGGGGGAGAGGGGGCCCACAGCTAGCCGTCTCTGCCCACCTCATGGGCACCGCCAACTTTCATCTTGGCCAGGGTGTGCCAGTCTCATCAGGACCATGCTGGCTAGAGAATTATGGGAGTTGAAGTCCAGCTGCCTTAAAGTGGCCAAGCTTGAGAAACACGGTTGTAGACTCAAGAGGTGCACCAAACTACCCAAAGCCTGTAAAGCAAAGATCCTTGTCGCCCCCCACCCGAACTCTATAGGAAAATGGAGGCAACCCTGTGTCCCTATTTGAAAGAGGACATTCAACAGGGCCTTTGCAACAGTGCGTAGGGATCTCCATCTCTGCCACGGGCAGGTCCGGAGGAGACACTTCCCACTTTGCCTGGGAGCTCCAACTTCCGGCCGGCTCCTGGGATACCCAGCAGCCCCCTCGCTCCCTCCCTCCCTCGGCTTCTTGCTGGCTAATCAGCTTCGTTTGGGTCAGGAGACCAAGGCTGGACGATAAGAGCCTCTGGCTGACACTTTCCATGTCAGAGCAGAGCATCTTCTGTGTATCAATCCTCACCAGAGAAAACACTCGGCGGCTGATAAAGAAGGCAACCGTTCCAGACAGAAGGAGACAAAAATAGGGCTAGCCCAGAGGAGGGGCCCTTCCCTTCCCTTCCCTCCCCCCTTCCCTCTATCTCTGCTAGTGTGCAAAGGAGAAAGGTTGGATGGATGGATGGATGGATGGATAAAAGGCAGGCGGAGGGAAGGAGGGAGGGAGGGAGGAAGGAAGGGGCACAATGGGCAGTGCTGGTCTCCTGATGGTGGGCTGACATGTATGTCAGTGGGCACCAACATGGCTGGCTGAGAAGACCCTCAGCCTGAAAGCAAGGCCTGGATATTCCTGATTCCTACCCCAGGGTCTCTAGCTCAGGGCCATCTCTGCAGAGCCTGGACTTCAGACAGACAGACAGACAGACAGACAGATAGGTGGACCAAGATGGACGGACCCCACTTCCAAAGAGCAGGCAGAGCCCCCATCTGAGCTTTCCTCCAGGCACCGCCTCCCGGATCAACTGGCCACGATCAGGACACATCAATTAATAGTTTGGCCAGGCCTAATGGCCAAAACAATGTTGTCGATTATCGCAAGGAACAAAGTCCATTTCTCCCCCTCCGGCTGGCGGGTGTGCGCCTGCGTCTGGCTGCCCCTAATCTCGGGATCGGTGGCGCTGGCGCTCAGTTTCACCACCCGGCAGGTTAATACAATTCTGCCCTTATCTTATCTCCCCATCAGCTTCCTGGCCAAGCAACCCTCCGATTGGTTCCTGAAAGCCAGCTGGCCCAAAGTTATCAGAATAATTCCTATCTCCGGGATCATTAACCAAATTGGGCTGGTATCGGTCTGTGTGCCGGCGATAATGAAGTTACAAGCGGAATGGAGGGGAAGAGGAAAGATGGCGAGGAGATGCTGCTTGAGGAGGCTGGCGTCCCTTGGGGGCCTCCACAGAAGGACCTTCGCTGGAAAGGGGGTGCCGTGGCTGCATTTGGAGCCCAGAGACCTCAGCGAGGCTGGGAGGGGATGTGGGCCCAACCCAACGCAGGCTAGCCAGCAGTTCAGAAGTACTGTATCGTGACCCAGGTTGGGTTGCTTGCAAGCTACCCTTTAGAAGTTGTGGGTGCTCCATCACAGGAGGTTTTTAAGAAGAGATTGGACACCCATTTGTCCCGAATGGTTTAGGGTCCCCTGTTTGAACAGGGGGTTGGGACCTTCCAACTCTGTTATTCTGTCTGCATCCACCATCCAGATGAACCTTCTTAGAGATTCTGGTTTCCCCACAACTCCTCCGTGGCCCAATCTAGCTCCATCCACTGCAGATGTGACTAATTTGTATCATTTAGACAATGCAACTCTATGGGGAGGGGGAACAGGGGGATGGGCTGCAACATGAACAATAGCCTGGGAGCAGATAGGGGGGTTCTCAGCCACCTCAAGAATTGGGAAGATGAAAAGGACAGGAGTTACTTCTCCATCCTGTGGAATGGCACAATCCCTCGGAGCAGCGTTCCTCAACCTGGAACTTGGAAGATGTGTGGCCTTCAACTCTTCCATAGCTGGCTGGGGAATTCTGGGAGTTGAAGTCCACACTTCTTCAAGTTGCTAAGCTTGAGAAACACTGTCCTAGGAGAACGGCAGAACCTGAATGCCAGAATAGTAAACATCCATGTGAAGTCTGCCCTTTTGCCCATTTCCAACTGCTGCTCACCAACTGACCCCAGGCATTTCATAGGAGGAGACTTGGCTCCTTCTGTGGCCTCTCTGTGTGATCTCACCTACTGCCACCCCTGAGCTGGGAAACCAGCCACCCCCCAGATGGCCCTCAACTACAACTGCCAGCAGTTCCAGCCCACCTGGCCAAAGGAGAGGGACGCCGGGAACATCAGCAGCCTGCAGGAGAGCCCAGGTTGCCCAACCCATCAGCTTGGCTGTTGTTAACCCCAAAAGGATCAGCTGTGAACCAATTTTGGGAATTGGATGCCATGCCAACTTTATCCAGCCAGAAAGCATACGAGGAAAGGTTTGGCAAGTGTACCTGCCAAACTTTATCATTTGATTGGAGTCAAACAGAAAACCAGGTCCTCTCATGCCTACTAAAGAACCTCTGGTCCTTCTTCCTTTACCATCTCATCCTGTCTTTAAATTTCAGTGCCCCCCCTAAACAAAGAAGACCAACTTCTCTTAGATTGCTCCCTGTAAGCGCTATGCAAGCAGAGATAATTAGCAACCAAAACCAGCATCCAAAGGAACTATCTCCACTGAGACTCTCAAATCTCATTGCACCCCTTCCCCCACGCCCCCAGTCCTGCATAGGACAATTGCATCCACTCAACCTCATCCAAGTTCATTACAATCCATGACATGACTTTAAAAGACCGTCATAATCTTATTGTGTTCCTGGTCTGGCTGAAGCTCAGCCAAATACTAGAGAAGAACTCAGAAGCTTATGAAGACTAGCCATCCTCTGGTGGTGGGTCTTCCCACTGCCATTAACACTCTGTGGAGTTCTTGGTACTCTCTGAGCTTGGTTATTTTCTTGCAAACGTTTCATCAGTGCACTGATGATGTCCCCTAGTTGGGTAATGAAACGTCTGCAAGGAAGCAATCAATCTTAGAGAGCACCAAGATCCCCACAATTCAATCCTGAACTACAAAGATTCTCTTCAATTGACACACCACTCTGTCTGTCTGAACTGAAGCAGCCACCCTCTCTTAGCTTTAAGCAAATGCCCATAATTTGAACAACGAGGAGTAGTGATTCTTCTGCCTACTGATCAGTTCAATGGGGAGAACTCAACTTCCAGCTAGTACCACAAAAGACAAAGGGGAACCTCAGAACAAAACCAGAAGAGCTCAGGGAAGCTTCCAGGAATAGGGTAACTTGAACCCAGTGCTGGGGAACAGTCAATAAGAGGCTGCTCAGGACTGCGTCTTGGAAGATGGGTTGTCCTGCTGGGTGTGAATGAAGGGCAAAACCCAACGTGGC